GATTCAATGTGACTCTGATGCACTTACTCCCCTGAATAACTGTATTCGTGACGTTAAATATTGGTTATCACAGAACTTCCTTTACTTAAATGACAGCAAGACTGAATATATTGTCTTTAGCCCCGATTCGGCTACTCTTGTATCCAAATTAGGTGTTTCGGCTCCCTTAGTCACTGACACTGTCAGAAACCTCGGAGTGATATTTGACAGCAGCCTTAACTTTGATAAGCAGGTCAGATCTGTAGTCAAAACTAGCTTTTTTCACGTGAGGATGTTAATGAAGGTGAAGCCCTTCCTATCACATGCTGAGTTAGAAAAAGCTGTTCATGCTTTTATCACCTCACGACTCAACTACAACAATGCTGGAATTTCTCAATCTCTTCTCAGGAAGCTACAACTCATCCAGAACGCTGCGGCTTGGCTCTTGTCGAATACCCCCAGATACGCCCACATCACCCCTGTTCTTTTCTCGCTGTACTGGCTGCCAGTAAAATTCAGAGTCGGTGCTGCTATTTGTATTTAAGTCCATTAACTGCCTCGCCCCCCCATATGTGTCAGATCTCGTGTCTGTCTATGCTCCGCACAGAGCTCTATGCTCTTCAGAGCATCTATCTTTGGCTGTCCCGCGATCTCGATACAAAAAAATGGGGCGATCGCTCTTTTTACATCTCGATACAAAAAATGGGGCGATCGCTGTTTTTCCATATATGGCCCAAGCTATGAAACTCTCTACCTAGAGAGCTATGGTCCACAACTGAGCTGGCCTATTTTAAAGTAACTTTAAAAACTCATCTCTTTAGGCAGGCCTTCGGTACTTAACTCGTTTCAATGAGACATTTTTAACCTGTTGTTCTATGTTATTTATACTTCAAAATTGAGTTTCCCCTCTGTTTTTAAAGTCTACATTATTTCAGGTTTTTGTTTTTTCTAGTGTTTTTAACTCTTTCTTACTAGAGTACATATGTCTTGCTGTGTAGCACTTAATCCTCATCTCAGGGGTCTTTAATCACGCCTCCCTCCCCTTCTTTGCCACCCTCCTTAACTTCAAACAGTATGTTAATTGCTGCACGAGGGACAATAAAACTCTGGACCTACTGTATGCAAATGCCAGAAATGCATACACCTCCGCCCCCTCTAGGTTGCTCTGACCACAACCTTGTTCACCTGATTCCTGTGTATACTCCAGTGGTGAAAAGGGTGTCACCTCAGGTCAGGGTAGTAAAGATATGGAGCAAGGAGGCAATTGAGCAGCTGAGAGACTGTTTTAACACCACAGACTGGGACATCCTCTGTGGTCCTCATGGTGAGGGCATAAACGGCCTCACACACTGTGTTTTGGATTACATAAACTTCTGTGTGGAAAATACTGTACCATCCAGGACAGTACGGTGTTTTCCTAACAACAAGCCGTGGATGAGCCCCGAGTTAAAAGTACTGCTAAATGAGAAGAAGAGGGCTTTCCTCTCAGGGGACAAGGAGGAGCTGAGCAGAGTGCAGCGGGAACTAAAGTACATGATCCGGAGGTGCAAGGCTAGCTTCCATGCTGGAGCACAGCATGGAAACGAACAACGTGTGTGAGGTGTGGAGAGGCCTGAAACACATCTCGGGTCATGGTAAAAGTGGAAATGGTCACCAGGTTGCGGGGGACAAGGCCTGGGCAAAATAACTGAATCTGTTTTTTAACAGACCTCTCCAGGTCAGTTGTCCCCTCGCAGGTGCAGCTGCTCACACCTCAGCCAGACCCTGCCCCTCCTCCCACTGTCTCAGGGGGTTCCCAACAGCCCACAGCTCCTGAACAGTCACCACCCACCCGTCCCCTCAGCCTCACGGGGGACCAGGTCAGGAGGGAGTTAAGGAGGATTAAAGCCAGGAAGGCCGCAGGCCCTGACCACATCAGCTCCAGGGTCCTCAGAGAGTGTGCAGACCAACTCAGTGAAGTGGTCCTGTACATGTTTAATCTGAGTCTTAGCCTGGAGGGAGTTCCAGTTCTGTGGAAGACATCATGTATTGTCACAGTTCCTAAAATAACTCATTCCAAGCAGCCAAACCACTACAGACCCATTGTCCTGACCTCCCACCTGACAAAGACTATGGAGAGGATTGTCCTCGGCCACCGCCGTGCCCAAGTGAACTCAGCACTGGACCTGCTGCAGTTTGCATATCGACCTGTGTAAGATTTGACTCTTAGAGGCTCTAGTTAGTGTGGATGCAAGCATCCACACTCTTGTTATCTTCTTCTTTATTATTTTTATGATTCTGGGTTCTGCCACTGTTCTTTGGCACCTAACTCCTTCAGCATACTTTCACCTAGAAGGGCCATTGAGGTATCAAACTGTTTATCTCTTTAAGGACATGACTGCTTGTATACAACTTTTATAACTTTTATACTTTTTAAGCTCTTCAGCTTTTTTTTTACAGAAATTTCCCCATTGGAAATGAATGGGGCAAAGTTGGAAGCTTAATATCTCAGGCATACCTTAGGCTAGAAATGCCATTTCAACTCTGTTCAACTCGTGGGACGTTCGGCTACCAATGGTGCAAAGATCATCTTGATATCTTTTATGGTTTCTTTATAATCGACATTTATATTTTGTCTATTTGTCCATAGACAACGAATGTGCCAATACAATACAATGCAAGCTCATAAAACCATGACATTACTTTTCCCCTTGAAAGCCAAGCAAACTTCTGAACGACACAGCACCCGGACATGATCTAATCCCAGGTCTTTGCATAGCTGTATGAAACAACAGCTGTTCTTGGCATGCCGTTTAATGTAGTTCACTATTGCTATGGCATCTTTGTGTTGTCAACGATTTCAACAAAGAACTTCATCCATATCTTCTCATCCTTCAGCTCTTTAACTAATTGATTTCAGGCATTTTCAGGGCAATCCTCACAATGTTTCATTTCAATAGCCACACTGTAGTAGTCCACAGGGTGTAATTGGGAATTCTCTCTCTCTCTCTCACTCGCTCGCTCACTCACTCACACACACACAGACACATACACCTGCTCAATTTACCTACTTTGTGTGGACAAATGAGACAATTTTCACATCTTTATAAGTTCAGCATAGTTTCAGCTACAAAAGCCATTCAGGTATCAAAATGTTCAGCTCTTCAAGGACATTCCT